AGACTTTAGTCTATTTAATTTGATTTATTTTTTTTAGCAATTAGGTGAATGGAAATATTTGCTGTAATTTATGGAAATATTCGAGTATATCAATGATGGGGATCAACTTGATCTTTCTGATCACTTTGTATCTGAAGAATCCGTGTAGTGAAAACCGCGTAAAAAAAACGGCAGTTTTCCGGTTCCGTTACCGGCTCCCATCTCTGCAATTTACTGCGAAAAACCGCTACTTTTCCTTGGTTTACCACGGTTAACCGCCAATCTTATCGGTAAACCTGTCAGCCAATCATTTTTTCTGTTCGACTACAGCAAAACATCGATTATGATCATTTTAGATGTCTTTTTTATGTGGCTCCAAAAAACCGGTGGTTGACCACGATTTTACCATTCCGGTTACCAGCGCCCATCGCAGCAAATAATCGAGGTTTTCTCCTAAAAATGATCCAATTTTTGCGATATGGGAATTTAATGATAAGGACAGAATTGTTAATGAAGGTAAAGAAGGAAAATTTTTTTACATTATTTTGGAACGTAAAGGAAAAGAAAAGAAAATTTGCTGTTTGTTTTTTTCATTAAAAAAATAATTTTATTCAGATACAGCTATTGTTTATAGAAGAATATCTGAAAATGGATTACCGATGAAAATCGGAAAATTACGTCCTTACGATCATTTTGGTGGTTTATCGTTATTTTTAATAAATCATATGCTCGTACAATACCAGCTATTTGACCATTAAAATATATAAGAATGGATTATAATAAATTTCAAACTGTACTTTAACCAATGTTAATTGTTCTTCAACGAAGTGATCAACAATATCAATTGTTTATCAATTTTTCGGTTAAAAAACCAAGAACATTAAATATATATAAACATTTGGATTTATGATGAACTAAAAAAAAATAAATGTAACATTTTGTTCTTCTCTTTGTTCTTTTTTTCTATGACATGTCGTTTTTTGGGGTGTGGTGGTACAGATGAGTGTGAGGTGTAGGTGATGGTATGAATAACGCCGTCACTCACACCTACACTGACAGCCTCGGCTCAAACAGTGTCGATTACGATCGTCATAATGACGTATTAATGAACGTATCGCTGTATGAAAACAAGAAAAACATATCCTCCAAAATATGATTAGTTTTGAAAATTACTAATAAATTCTGAAAATTACCTGCACTTGAAAAGGTAGCACTTTTTTCTCAAGAATAAAGTACATTGACATGTACATAGAAAAAATATTTCATAATTTTTTGTATACTGACGTTTCATAGTAATTTCCAAAACTCTTGAGTCATTATTAATATTTTAGAGGATTGAATTCTCCTTCTCATACGAAAGTAGATTGAAATAGATTCATAATAGCTGAGTCATTTTATGATTCATTCGGAAGTATTTTAATTGTATTGGAGGAAGTTTTATAATTTCTGACTAGTTTACTTTTGCTTTATGATAGACTTCGATAAATCCCGTGAAATTTTAGAAGTTATATGTAAATTTCTGTATCTCTTTCTTTGATGAGTTCTTTTGGTGTATCGGAAATGTAGTGTTTTGGAAATTAGAACATATCAATTTTATAGAGGAATGTTTTCTCTTTGATTTTCTGTATTTTTAATAATGTTCACTTTAGCTCTGAGTAAATTTTGGCTCCAACCACTCTACGTGCTCTTCTCCAAAGAACACTAGATGACTTTTTTTTTCATATCAACAGTCACAGTGAAATGGCGAAAGTGCTAGAGAAGGTTGATGAACTTCATAGAAATCAGTTACATGGATAGCTGGAATCCCACACTACATCATGAGTCTGTAAAGGATGTCGACGACTAACTAGTAGTTTGCTAGAAAGAAGTTTTATTTTATCACGTATGTCCAATGTACAATTCGTTTATTTTTGCAACCAACGAATATATGCATCCACGAATGTGGAAACGGAAGGAATTAGCTATAAAGTCATAGAGAGTCAAAAACGTACTAGAGAGTACGAAACAAAATATACATGATTCATATAGAACCTTTTCCAGAGTTATGAAGTTCAGTGGTGATCTTTCCTAGCATTTACAACGGATAAAGTTCTCTAGAGTGCAGATTTTTACCCATTATTATGTTGTGAAACACTACTTAAAAGAAATATAGTAACTACTGCCTTATTATATTTTTGATGAATTAAGTCAAAGGAGAATAAAGAAATGTGTTCTAAAATACGCAGAATAAAAGAATCTTTGTGTATAAAACTATTTTTTGAATTTTATATTTTTATTTATAACAAAAAATAAATCATGTTTACTAGAAACATAAATAAAAATACATGGATGATTAAAATAAATTTATTTAATTCCGTGGTAATTTATATTGTTGAATCATTCCCAAAGACTTCCGATTGAATTCCGCTCTATTTTCCATATATTCTCTGCCAATATCTACAGAGAAATTTAAGAAAAAGAAAATATATTGAAAAGATTTTTATTTTTCGCAATAGAAAAAACTAACCAGCATTGACCGAGTAATCAATATCTGGATTATCAATATGTTCAACAACAGCTTTAACAACATCAATTAAAGTTGTTCCATGTTTCCATCTTGTAGTTTTTGTTAGTAGTGGATGACAAAATTTACCTTAATTTGTTGTTAATATATATATATATATTAGATTGAGTAAATGATATATTCACTTACCATCTTTATCAATATTTGGATGATAAATCGGAGTTAAAAATCTAACTTCAGGAGGTTCAAATGGATAATTTGATGTTAATTTCATTTCTATTTGAAATGCACTTTCTTTAAATATATCTGAATTTGGTAATATTCGTCCAATGATAACATATTCAGTGTTGTTCATTGAAGTTTCATCATCATCATTTTCATCAAAAGGTGATTTATCAAGTAAAAATCTTACTGATGAGCCTTCTTTATTCGATAATTTAAGTTGAGTAATATTTGTCCAAAGAGCTTTATTTAATTTATTTGTATTCGTCATTGAAATAAGCTAAAATAAGAATATTTTAGATATAAGCACTTCTAGAAAAATTTTTCCAAGCTGTGTGCTATTGTCTATAATTGAAGAGAAAGCAAATATATTCCTCAATCTTTGCTTAATTTTGTCATGATTTATATATCCATTGTTTATCATGTCTCACATGACATCGAAAGAATAGAAGATTTTATATTGAAAACAATCATTATGCGTAATAACAAGCATGACTGCTGGTTACTGCGTAATACGATCAATAACAGTGCACTCATACCGACGTAATAGTATGAATAATATAGATAAGAGAAAGCATAATGAGTCAGAACATTCTTCTAATCTCTGATAGTTTTAAATCGACGTGAATAATAAGTGCAAGTTTCATTGTTGTACTTAATGGTATCCTTCCACTTTCACGAGTTTGCGGAGAACGGCTCATCAGAAAATTTTAAACATTTCAGGGCAGTTAGATCTTGATGAGGAGAGCAAAATTTGTCGTCTCCAATACGGTTCCCTATAAGATACTGACATTGCAACGGCTAAAAATGGCCTCCTTCCCTTCATTTCTCTGAAATGTTATGTTTGATCGATCTGCCAAACATCGAAGGTACCCCAAAAACGATTGTTTATAAATACACCTACCTACAAGTTCTTCATCAACATCCACATCTATCGAAACAAATATACAAGGAAAAATTGATTTAAAAAAATAGATTCGATATATATTTTTAGAAGAGGAAGGCGTAATAAAAAGTTACCACTCTTTTATATGAGATAAAGTTCAAGGAACTATAAAGGAAATATGGTTTATATTCGTCAAAAACACTTCTACATGCGATCATATAATCTTGGCTGTATGCGGAACGACGTAAATTGCAATCGCGGCGTGTATGGACATCGCAACAAAGCAACTGGAACTTTTGCCATTGGGAAAGATTTTATTGGCGAAACTCTGGTCACTCTAACCATCGAAAAAATGAAAGTAACATATTTCAATAAACAAGTTATCCTAACATTCGATCGTCCGCCGACTAGTGATCTACGTTCTTGTGCTTTCTGCTTATTGTAATTTAATTTTAATTTCACTCATTGAACTGAATAAATCTTTGTAATTTTTATTTCATCTAGAGAATAATATTGATGATGAACAAGTGTTATCACAGTAATTTAAACAATAATGACTTTTCTCCTTTTCATGAATTCTGATGCTTAAAAAAGAACTTCTGTCGAACAAATTGGTTGAATAAAAATCATTCATTGCTGCTGAGACATGTTTTTCCACTCAAGTTGAAGTTTTTATGATCAAAAAGAATAGATGCTTCAGTATAGTCGATACTGAATAATCGACTAACCAGAAAGTAAAATTGCAAATCAATTTGTTTTTGTATAATTTTCTATAGATTTATTATATATATTTGTTCGGTATTAGTCTCTTTCTTGAGTTTGCATTATCAAAAATTGAACTCAATCTAAGTTTTCAATGATCTTACAGTTTTCATTTTTTATATACCATTCATACATTTAAAAGATGAAAAGTATGTATGTTTACTAAATTTTATTTGTTTTCAACTAGACAAAAAAGTAATTAGTAAATGGAGTTTTGAGACACGCCACTTTCTGCTGAATCATATGATTGAGCACGTCTAACATTTTTGTTCTTTTTACATATGCAGAAATATATAACGATTGAAATTGGTAATAAAAGCACTATAACAACACCAATACTTATGTAAATCCACGTATTGTTCGATTGTACTAAACATAAATACAGTATCAACAAAAGCTAAAATTTATAACTAATATATTTTCTAATGCTTTGATTCCTATATCTAGTTCAACAACTCGCATCCTATCTGCTTTATGATTGTACCAAGAAAAGTTAGATTGCATTTTAAAAAATATTAAGTGGTGCAAAATTTGTTTTTTCCTTTTTTCTAATGTGAACTACTGCTCATTATGTATTTTTTTCTTCAATAAATTTCAAAAGTCAATGTGTAATAAAGCTATTGATTAGAAAAGAGAAACTACGAAAAATTATCTATCAGACACAATCTCACCTGTATCTATAATTATAGTTGTTGTTCGTGGTGGTGGTGGATCTAAGATATTAATAAACAAAATATCAGTTAACTGTAGAATTATTTTTCATTGTAATAAAATCCTAAAAAAAAATGCTTACGTACGAATTTCACAAAGAGTATACGTTTTCCAACTACAAAACCAATCATGCATACAAACTAATGTACCTTTAAAAAGTGCTAAACCAATACATGTTTGACGTTCTCCAGTTGCTTTTAATGCTACATAATTTGGTTCTTGTCCAAGTGGTGAGTTTTGTTTACTGAATATTTTATTATACAAAAATGATATCTTATATAACATTTCACTTACCACCAATATGGATTTCTTTTTGTTATAGATGGTCCATGAGAAATTAAATCATATTTTCCTTCACCAGACCAATCAGCTAATTTTGCTCCTATCCATATACTAGCAAAATTTGTACCATTACGTGGAGTTTTTTGAAACATTCTATATTGTTATATAATTAAATTTTAGATAATTTTTCAATTTTTTAATTTACTCATTCTCTTTGATATTCGATCGAATAAACAAAGCAATTGATTCAAACTATAAAAAAAAAAAAATCATAATTATTAGAAATGCTTTATATACTTTATTTATTACATATGTAATACCTCTTGACTTCTACGAATAACAAAAAGATCACCACCATCTTTTTGACAACGTTCACGTGCAGAATCCCATGTCAATTGATTAGTTTCACCCAATATTAAACTATAACATCTATATAAAATAGATTTATATTCATTTTCAATAACATCATAATATTTTTACTCACTTAGTACCTGTATATCAATATACAAGAAAAAAGAAAAAGATTAGTTTAAAAATCGAAGAATGTAATAAAATCTTTTTTTTACCTGAAGTAGTATAATGAAGTGGACATATCATGCATTCTTCACCAGTCTTTTAATATGAAGATTACGTTTTTTTTTTTTTATTGAAGAATTAAAATGATTATGAATATGTTACCCAGAAAGAAAGAAGATTTTTTGCATCAACTGTTTTACCAATATTCGAACATAAACAATATCCATTAATACATTGAAGTGGTTCAGGACATGATGGATTATCTGATCTACATGGTTCATTAAATGCTCTAACTAAATACACAAGTATTATGTTTAAATAATCAATATGTCTTACTAAATTGATTTTCAATAAACATAACAAGACTAAATATGAATAACTCAATGATATAAGGCATAGAATATGAACGTAGTCGTAAAGAAAGGAATTATTTTTATAGTAAAAAAACAAAAAGCGCCTATTAGTTTTTCAATCAAACATTTAGTTATATAAAATTATCATCTGAAATTTCTGACTATCGTTTAATTGATCAATTTGATAAATATAAAGTTAAGATTCTTCAGTTCTAGCATAAAGCGTTGACTAATTAGATGAGTTCTTGAAGGCTATATTTTCTTCGTTATAAGAAGATCGATTGTGGAATGTCAGAAATATTGAGATAACAAAGTCAGATCATTTCGAATCTAAAAACAAGTATTATCATTTCAACATTAATTTAAAAATTGTTTTTCAACTTTATGAATCTTAGAATGGATTCCATCTTTTCAAAACGAATAAGTATGCAAATATGGAATTTTCATATCGTTTCAAATTCAAAAAGTATTCTAATTTGTGTATTCATCTAGATACAATATAAATTGATATCAATATTAATATAAATATAATGAATTTCTCTATCGTACAGTGAAAACTTCTCTACAAAAATAATTTTTTTTTTGTTTTAGGAAGACTATCTTGTTGCTTACATTAGCATTCATTTTGATAAAAGTGAAATAACTCCAATCCGATTCAAGATATAACTAATCTTTTTCCTTATATAAATATCGCATGTATAAAATAGTCATAAATTTCAATGCATTAATCATCGACATCTCATCCAAATTAGCCAATTGTACATGAATGAATGCATAAAGTACAGCAGACAAATCTATCCGAATATTCATTTTCAGCCATTCATCGATAATTGTATGAGCATATACATGTTTATTGCTTCTATGCAAGTATCAACCTAAATTTAATTCACCATCTATAACTTGGATAAATTTATTCCATGTCGACATTTATATATATAAAGGTATCGATCAATAAACTTCTATGATTATTTTACTAACATTTCCAATCCAAGTATATCATATAAATAGTTTTAATATGCTTTTTAACCATTATACCATGAAATACCACTTATGAGTGATATTGAAAATATGATACACATTAGTTTTTTCTAGAAGATTATACTAATTAGAATGTCATTGATTATAACATGCTAAATTTTCTTTTTTATTATTAATTAATTTCAGTATCTAACTACCATTATGAAATTAATTGTACAATGCATAATAAAAGCAAAAAACATTCTAATATAAAAAAACAGTTGTTCTTTTTTTTTTAATTACAAAATGAATTAAAATTTTGCTTTGAATTAGAATACTTTCCATATATAGATAATTGATATAAGCAGCTGTTTATCAATCTTAATTAGAATGCAAGAATACATATAGAAGTACAAAGTGCAAATTTTGTCAACAGATTTCTGATGGAAAAGTGGAATTATTTATTCTTTCATAGAATTGAAAATTATGAAATAAAGATAAGAATATTTCTTGCTGTAATATCCATATAGAACTCGATTGAATTAGTAAAAGACCATGTTTGTCCTTCAGAGATATTTTCATTAACTTTTGCAGTAGATCATTTTTCTTGTTTATCTTATATGACGCTTAGAGGGTGTAGGCATTCTTTTTCCCTTCACCCACATTCTCCACGATTGGAGAAGGGCAACAAGATGGAACCATTTAAAGCTTTACTGCTTCACCTAAAACATTGACCTTACGTGACTTTTGATATTCTATGAAAGTATTGTTCGAAGTATCATATTCAAAAAAAAGTACATTAGATTAATATTATTAGAAATTTATTTATTTTCAGATAAAGGACACTTAGAATAACTGTCTAGACATTTAGCTGAATTTTACACATTATAGTCTGCAACATCCATTAAATGAATATTAGATTTGTTGACGTTTGTCTTATCTTCTGTCTTATTAATATAATAGTATTCAAAATGTCATTTGATCCAATATCTATTTAAGAGAAAATAACTGATTTTCTTACCAACAAAACTATACTTTTACATAGATAACCTGTTTTGCCAAAGGATTAAAAATATTGCCTATCGACAACAGAAAATTTCCTACGGAAAACATAGAACACAAAATAATTTAGAAGAAAGATATTATCTTACTACTCCTACTGATTGCATGATCGATATTCATAAGATATTTCTTTGAATGTTGATTAAACATATGGTATAACAATTAACTTTTCTGTTAATAATGTTTAAAAGCCTTATGTATATTTGTTGATATTTCAAAATATGAATGACAGTATACTTTGATATGTGATGATATAACTCGACAGAAAAAAGATAAAGTAATCTATTGAGGACAGTTGTCATTGCTTATCTCAGTAACAAGTGCGACTTTATATTGTTCTTCAGGGTCATATTATCAAGGTTATTAATAAATAATAAACTGAAAACAAGTGCATGGTCAGTAAGTTCCTGTTAACACACGATAACAATAGAAACAAACTCTTATCAAATAATTTGTAGAACATTTCTTTCTACATATGACCTCGAACACGAGAAAACATTTGACGATAAGTAGTTTCTGTCATTTTAGTATTAGGTTTTATTCTTTTTGTCTGTTTTGGAATTGAAAAGAAATTGCATTTTATGACAATTGATGGATGGTTATTTATTTTTTGTCTTTAGTTTGCTTATGGTTAGACTCATTCTAAATAAGTGTATATTATTGACAGTCGTTATATTCTGTTACATGTCGAGCAATATTAGAACAATTGTCAGTGAATGTCATTGACAGTAACATTGGCCAACGCAAACAACAAAAAAAAATACTAAATAACTGATATTTTCGTTGTTGCGATCTAGAGATAAAATTCTTTCCATGACCTTTAAAAGTATTATTATGATATTTTAATAGAAGACATTTTTTTTTGTCTTCAAGGTCTTTACTTAAAGTAGAGCTTAATGTATGATTGAAATTACAATTTGATTATAGATTAAATAAATAAACATTTCATATTCTTATTTTAAAATGTATTTTGTTTTTTTGCTTATCTTAATTTTTCAGAAGAACCAAAAGAAAAAAAAGAGAGAAGTTTTCAAGTAGCACAAATGAATACAATAGACAAAACAACAAAAATAATAGACAAAACAGAGAATAAGGTTAATCCCATTGAAAGAAAACGCGCAACGAAAAAAAAAGACAACTAATCCTTATACATAAAAGAAAAATCTATAATATGGCCATGTTATGTTTTCGTTTTTTCTCTATTCAAATATATATATATATATGTATGTATATATATGTCTGATTTATTAGCAGAAATAATAGGAAAATGACAATAAAAGAAATCGAAGAAAAAGAAAAAAAAAGCGATTCAATCTAAAAAGATATATGAAAAAAAAAGAACTGTAAGGATCTTGTGTTCGATGGCAAAAGACGAGAAAAAAAACAACAACAAAGACAAAAGATTTTTCACATAATTAAAAAGAAAGTTTAATAGAATAATAATAACAGTCAAAGACAATTGTCTAGATATGAGTTACACACAAACACACAAACTTTTCTATGTCTAGAAAGAACAACAGACAAGAAAAAGGTAAGGAGGACTTTTCATTTCTAATTTTAATATGAAGGAACAAGAACCAAAAAAAAAAGAAAAGAGACAGAAGAAAAAAAGAAAATTGATGAGAAAGAATGAGAGATATATAGGATGAGCCGGTGTTTGCTTGATCATCGTCGAGAATGATTTTTGTTTTTTTTCCTTTCTTTGTTTATTGGAATTTTTGGTTGAACACTGCTTTTTCTTCTCCATTATTATCAATAAGTCGTGTAACCATATTTGTACCTGTACCCCATGTTTGAACACCTTCAGCTACTAATGTTTCTCTTTCATTAATTGAACCTTTACTTGCATTACGACTTAAAATACGAATACGTGATCGTGATTTAAGTACAAAATTATCCGGAAATTTATAGACAATATCGTCTTTTGAATCAATTCTACGTCGCAATGTCCAACCTTTCATATCTTGATCTTTGCCTGTTGAACCGGCATTCTCGATGACGATAAAGTTACCTTGTGGATCTACCTGATCAATAGCAATAGGACCTAAATATTAAAAAAAAAACACATATATTTTCTTGTATAAAATTGATAATTAATTTTAATCATGCTTTTGTTTGTTTTTTTTTTTTCAAATGTCAATATACATATGAAGAAGATGTAGAAGTTTGGGTTAATTGAAAGGATGTAAAGAGAATATTGCACGCAATAAATAAGTGCAATAGTAGACGTGCTAATAATAAAACGATGACGACAGTGGACGGTGTTACAATAATAAAAAAAAGAAAATATGTATGAATCAATTTTACACATGAATGAATCAACTATTTCTTTTGAATTATCATAATAATAAAGCAATAATAATAATAATCAAAAATCTTTTTATTTATTTATTTATTTATTAAGATTTTTTTTATTCAAAGCATGAGCTCCCGCTATGTGTAATTTGACGAGCAAATGATAATAGAGAAAAAAAAAATACAATAAGATTACTAAAAGCTCACGCTTAATACTTAGTATGGAAGAAAAAAAAGGAGAAGATTGGTATGTGTAAGTTTTTCTTTTTAATAGTCTAAATAAATAATAAAAAAAACATGCAGTCAAAATGAAGCCTATTTGAACAAAAAAATTTCATGATAAAGAATGTTTTTATTTTTTAAATTTGATACTTGATACTATGAAAAATAATAATTAGAGATAATTTTTATTTCGAAATATTAATTAGAAAGAAAGAAAGAAAGATATCATTTTTTTTTTCTCTGTATTAAATGAGAACAAGATGTAGAGTTTGATATGCATGTGTTGTAATTATAACCGTCCATCTGCGACTAATCGTGTGTAATGAAATAGTTGCTTACTATTATTGCTCAAAAGAATAAGCGAGCTATTGGCGGCCGATAGGGACGAAATGAGCAGGAGCAAACAAAACGTCTCATCATGACTATCATCATCATTATCGAACAAGCGGGATGACATAGAAAAACGAGAGACAGACAAAGAAAATGACATACGATCAAACGAAATAACAGTAGTCCCGCTCTCGGCTATTGCGTGCAATAAAGATAAAAAAAAAACAACATGCTGCTTCCTATATTGTAATTATAATTTTTTTTTTTTTTCTTATTACTTACAGCAGCAGCAACACAAACGAAATAGTATAAAGGATTTATAATAGGAAAAATGAATAAAGGATTAAGAAATGAAAATTATGTTTTTTCTTTTTTTCAAAAGTAATATTCTAAACGAAATGATGATGATGAAATCTAACAGTTAAAAAGAAAAACAACAATAAAATATGAAATTTTTACTAACCTCGAGCCGATTTTTGAACGGTCATTTTTTTAGTTGATATATCCGATGCTTGAGTATCATAACGACCGCTACTACCACCACCACCAACTGATGATCCGGATTGATAATGATATGAAGATGAACTTCTTCCACCACCACTAGTGAAACCTTCACCTTCAACTCTTTGAAGATGTCCTTCTTCAACTTCAAGTAAACGTCTGTATGTATTGATTTCAAATTTAAGTGAAACATTGTTTTCAAGTACAGCACTAATAGCTTGTTCACGTTGTTCAGCTTGAGCACGTAAATCAGCTAATTCTCGATCACGTTCATTTTGAGCTCGATTATGTTCAGCTGCAATTCGTTCAAAATCTTCTTCTAATTGTCGAAGATGATTTGATAAATCCGAATGTTCCTTTTGTAATTTATTATAATTATCACGATTTTCAGATAACATAGTTTTTAATGATGATAAATCCATAACTTCAACAGCACCTGAACGACGTGCTTCTTCAATTTTACGTTTTTGTTCTGCTGCTTGTTCACGAATTTCTTCTGTTTTGATTCTATAATATTCTACAAAAAATAATAAAATAAATATTCAATTTTTTTGAAGTTT